ACATCAAAGCTAATTTAACAGTGGAGAAAATGGTTGTAGAAAAATGGCCACACCAAGTAGTTTGTTCAGTAGGTTCAGAGTAAGAGTGTAAATGTAATATCATGGTGTCCAGCACAGAACAGGAACTCTGTAATCAACTACTGAATGAATGGGTAGATGTGGTTTAGTGGGAACACTGAATTTAAATTTCTTAACTGCAGAATCTGTGCTTGATTCCTTCATGCATACTATGCTAAGCCCCTGGGATCCTTTCCAATAAGGATCTTCCTATTTGTAAAAAAGGAAAAGAATACCTTCCCAACAGATTATGTAAGGATGAAATGAAACAAAACACAGAAATTATTCAGTATTGTTCCTGAAATGTAGTAATTGCTCAGTGTAACTAGTAACTAGCTCGTGTCTCTTTCCTTCTTCCTGTGCACTTTGTCCTAAAGTCTGACTCTTCCCCACATTCTTAGTGCCTTCTGCGCACTGTGAACACAGTTCCTTATGAGCATCCCCCTTAATTTCCACAGCAGCTGTTTATTTGCCTTCTGGGTCATTTTGAAAATGCAGAAAATATCATTTTCTAAGTTCAAACCCATTAACTTGGGTAACACAAGATGCTTCTCAACATCTCCCAAGCCTCTTTACTTCCCAATCTCTACCAACTTGTTCAGGATAGAATCTCGTGGCCTTTTCTCACTCTTCTTATATTCACACTTCTCTCTTGGTTCCCTCTGCTTTCTTTAAAACAATGCCAGAATCCATAAGCTCCTCACGTGGTCATTTTGAGCCTTATCTCTTAAGATATTCTGTTTCCAGGCCTTTAAATGACATTAGAATCTCAATGGCATTAGAAGCCTTCCTGGAAGAAATTCAGGGAATTTAATTTCTTAATAACTCTATGCCATCTGGGGATTTACTTTATTTTCTTAACAATCACCCAAATTATACATTTAGGGTATTACTCAACCCCCATTTATACAGTTGGTTTATATGCAATATAAATTCCCTATTATCCTTTAAAATGCTGACTTAAAAGCCAAAATCAATGTCCAAGTTTCTCCTGCCTTGTTGTAAGACAGTGGGAATCTATTCTTTAACCAGAAGCTCTTGGTGTTCTGAATATTTCCAGTTCCAAAGCACTGGACACAGATTCTGCATCTTAGTGTTATCATATGGAAGTACACTTCTTTTTTTTTGTGTTGGACTCTTTTATTTTCAACTTTGGCCAGGGCTTTCTGTAGTTCCCAGCTCCTAGCAGGGCTGAAAAGACCATTCATAGAAAGATTATCTACTTTAGTTCTAACAACACACATGGGCTTAGACTTTGTGAAGTGTAAGTGGCAATGTAAAGGGAAAGACAATGGATGACAATCCAGACTCAAAGCAATCATTGTGGTAATCCTAAAGGTTTTACATATGCCATTCAGGCTGATCGTCATAACAGCATCATGAATGGGAATTATATGTACAAGCATGGAACAACTAAAACAAAACTAAAGCCCAAGTTGGAAAGCCCAGTGGAACCTAAGCTTTTCCTATCATTACATTACACTTTCTTGTCCAAGCAATTGTTGAAGTAGGATTTTCATATGTTCCTTCTGTTTGTGAAATTAGGGCCTACCTCAGGACTAGTATTCAAGATTTCCCCTGACTGGCCCAATTGTTCCTTTTCAAACATGTTAGATAGCATCCTATGTACTCTCTTCTCCAACTACAGTAAATACACAGAGTCCCCTGAAATGTCCCAGAGCTACTGCCTTCATTGTGGTTTCCATCTTGCTGGGCTTTCTTACCAAATTCCTATGTGTTTTTTAAGACTAATCCATTTTCAATAAAATTCACTAAGCACCCTCTGTTGCCATTCTGCAACTACGTGCTGCTTCTTTTGGCTACCCCCAAAACTTAGTTTGACTTGGAGCTATACGCTGCTGTGTGGTTATATAATAACTTTCTGCCTCTTAAAGAATCCATGAAGGCAGATGTTCTATCATGTCTATATCAACATACCCAAATATTTGAACATTTCTTGCTTAAATAAGTACTCAAGTTCTTTTTTTTTTACAATAGATAAAAAAATTAAGAGAGAGTGTATAATGTGTGGTGAGTGGAAAGGAGAAGAGAGGATGAGCACTAGAGAAAATAGGAGGGAGAGGGAGGACAGAGGGAGAGAGGAGGTAGGGAGAAAAGACATATTAATTTGGATGCTCAGGTAAAGTCCCTGGTGCTTAATTAACTCAAATCTGCTCTTACTTTGAAATTCAAATGCACTCCAAGTTTTGTACACGCTTTCAAAATACTGTTTGCATTCAATAATATCTGCTCAATATCTATCTCTATACCTGGGAGAAATTACACTAATGTAATAGTATTTTATCTTCATAAACGTTTACGAGCTGAAATATTAGGCAACCACACCAAGTGCTTACAAAAGTACATTAAATTTATCCTGGACAATCATTTAGACCATCCTGAACACACTGTCTCATAAAAAACAATCCCCAACAGCCCTCACATTAGAAGGACAATATTTGAAAGACACAAATATTCTAAAATAATGTGCAAATAATTTATGATCATATCTTTATCCACTATTGAACATGAATAGCACACAGAACAGAGCAGAGGGAGAAAGGGAGGGAGGGAGGAGAAAGAGAGAGAGAGAGAGAAAGAGAGAGAGAGAGAGAGAGAGAGAGAGAGAGAGAGAGAGAGAGAGAGAGAGAGGACTCTGTTTTGAAACCCCCACCATGCCCCAGCACAGGTTCCTAGGAAGGGCTTTGTGCCCTGAGAGTGACAATACTGTCTGGAATGTGAGGTAATCCCATTACACTCACTGTAATTTCAGGACAGTGTCCTGAGTCTCCTGCTGATAGAAGGCTACATCATCTCATTTCTAATTAAGAGCACAAAAGTCTTCCCAAACCACCTTGATTATTACACACAGCATGCTTGGCTCTATCTGGTAATGCCCTCACATTCTGGAAGAATCAACAACTCCTTTTAAATCCAAGGTAAGCACCACAGCGTTAATTATGTCAATTAAAGCTCTTTTCCTACACTTGCAGATGAAGTCTATTTCACTGGAGTAACAAGAGGACCATAGACCAAAGAGGCCTTGGCTACACGGGGAGGCAATCAGAGAGCTCATGTTCAGCTTGCAGATAGACATCACACAAGCATGGCATCACACAGGAGAAAACCTGGCAATAGGAAACGATCAGATGAACCACCTTAGTTTATACCTTACCTTTGAAAACACCAAACAACACTTCTAAAAAGCACTTAGATTTGTTTCCCTTTGACCAGGATATACTGCAAAGCACTGGGAAGATACAAAGCTCTATTGTAGCAAATCCTGTGTTAGAAACCGTCACCTTAGGCAGCCAGTCTCTGTCTTCAAGATTGAATAGGAAGCAACAAGGTCATCTGAATTAGGGAACCGCTGAGGTCTCTTCTCACATAGGATTTACTGAGGGTCGGTCTTTCCTATTTGGACTGTGAGGAAACAGCTAATTTATTTTAATTCACATAACACCCTCAAACATCATCAAACGCCCAAGGAGGAGGCAGACAATCCAAACAAAATCCCAGCAGAGTACTTCTAAACAATGAGGCCTTAAAATGGAACCTCATTTACCTTTTCTGTCTCACTTTGTCTATACAGACCAAGGTCAGTCCCTGATAGAGGCAAGAAGTTGGCCTTCCCAGAATTCATATGTTCAAGTCTAAGCTCTAATGTGGACTTAGGAGGTAGAGTCTTTGGGAGATGAATAGGGTCTAGTGGTAGCATCCTTGTGAATGGGTATCATTGCCCTTAGAGATTCCTTCTGCCATATAGTTACCTTGGTAACAGCTGCCTGTTAGCCAGGAAGCAGTGCCACACCAGTTACTGAATTTGCTGGCACCTTCATCTTGGAATTTTCACCCCTAAACTATAAGGGATTAATATATTAACTCAAGTTATTGTATTTTCTCGTAGCTTTTGGAACCACATGAGACATCCCCTCACCATTGTGTGTATTTTTCTCAAAATAGAGTCTGAGGTCAGCAGCAGTAGTTTTAAACTTCTTTAAGAAATGTAAATTCTCATTCTCATCCTACACTGGGAATATTTGGAAAGAAAGTGGGTGGGTCTCTGCAATCTGTGGTCAAAAAGAACTCAGGGCATTTGAACAAACACCAGCCTTGAAGAAGACTGTAAAGTTTCCTAGCCTCTACTCAACTCCTCTTAGTTCTAACACATTTCAATTTTCAACTAGATAAAAGGTTTCCAAATTGTAAGTATGATACCCTCCCCTCCACACACTCACTCCCTGGTGCTTCAACATTCATCAAATGAAATTCAAAAATTCAAAATACTTAGATGGCAACCTAACCTTTTACTTCCTGGTCCCAGCTGACTTCTCCAATCACTTTCCACTCTCTCACAGGTATGATTTGCTCAAGCTAATATCAGCCTCCTGTTGCTCCATCAAGGGCTGAAATTTAAAATCTGTGAGTCTCTCAAATGAATCCCTCTTGCCAGAATGAGTGTATCATTTCCTTGGCTTGCCAAACCCCTTCTTATCCTCCTACCCACTTCCTGGGCATTAACCCTTTTCTGAAGTCTCTTCTGTTTCCACCCCATCATCCCGACTTCTCTCTTCAGACCTGCAAATCTCACTGAAAACACAGACCACTGTTATAACAGAGATGTAATGACTTTATTTGAATTGTGATATTATATAGTCATCTGTTTCAGAGATTTCTACCTTATTAACCTTAGCATTTCAAATTTGGGATGAGAACCTGGGACAGATTAAATCTAATATATGTATGTGTATTTGTACAAATATATAGAGTATATAATTTAAATTATATATAATTAAGAATGTGTTATGCATATATTAAGAATTTAATTGCTGTTTCTTTGTAGGAATAAATAAATGCATTTACTTTTGAGAGTCTGTTGTCTAAAGCACTCCTAAAGCCAGTGGCCTTCTGTCATCCTCGTTTTACAGATCAGAAAAAAAATTAGAAAGAAATCTAAAACCTGATCCTTGGGGAAGTCAGGTTTCTAGTTAGTAAAAGGCAAAACAACATTCAGCCCTTTCAGGCTACAAAGATGATGTTTCCTCAAGCAAATATCAGTGTTTTTCCAAGTAAACTGAGGACTGGTGACTAAATGCAGATATAGCTTCTACACTTGATCTTAGCCAAAAGGCCGAGAAGCGATGCAGACATAGCTTCTTTGACATGTTTTCACACTTTTTTTTTTTTTTTACAATTTCCAGGGTAGGAAATAAAATTCTAGGCTATGACAGAGCTAGTCTACTAAAAACAAATGCTGAATATGTAAAGTCAAGTAGCTATGGACCTCAGTTTCATCTGCATGCAATATTGGCCATATATTACCTTTACCAATGGGACCTGCATTCCCTCACAAAAGCACACAATCCAAATACACACACACACACACACACACACACACACACACACACACACACACACACACACCATTCCACACGGGGGGGTGGGGGGGGGAGATAGAGAAAGAGACATGTACACAGAGAAATTTTTGGTAGACTAAAGGTGGAGTTGACTAGAAAGTCTTTCTCCTAATGAATAAGTAGTTCTTGTTTCAATTTGGCATCAAATTTGCATAGAAGATAGTTGAGAAAACAACTTTTTACCTCCATACATAGACACATATGCTATTTGTCCAATTTTATCCTTGGTCGGTGCAACTAGACAATCATGTCAGTTATTATCACTGTCAGGGTTGTTTGATTTTAGAACAATTAAGTTAAGTGCTAAAGAAGAGTTTAATTAGCTGAAACCTAAATTGTCATGATTAATTTACTAGTTACATTACAACACCCTGTAAAACATTTATGTAAATGGAGTATCTGCTTTCAGTGATCATGTGGCATACTTAATTTATTACACAACTAAATATTTAATTATTAATCTTAGTAAAGCTAAAGTTATTTGGCAAATTGTATTACTTGCAATAAAATGCTTAAAATTTTTATTCCACATGTTATAAAATCTTATTAAAGAAGCAAAAGAAGTGCAAACATTTTCACATATTTTAAAGATGCTTTGGAATAGTGGTACCAGATAAATGGAATTATTCTTGTAAACTAATCAGCATGTTTTATGCCAGGCTCAAATGGGAAATGTTAAGTGTTTCTACATTAAAATTAATTTTTGAGTGGGTACAAAGTTTCCATTTGAAGTAATGAAATTCTAGAAAGTTAAGGTAGTGATAGTTGCACAATATTGAAACTATGTTTAATGATATGTTATGCATAAATTTTAACATGATAAAACGACTGTATCAACATTTGACTGTGAATTGGTATTTTTGTCACACATCGGACACTAAGATAGTTAATATTTCAAGTGAAATAGTTGTGTCTATATCCTGGTTGGCATGTCTACTGTAACAGAGGGGTTAGAAAGTAAATTCCCAATCGACTGACTTATCTTTTGAATATCTGAAGTGACCTACTTCACAAAGATGTGCCATTTACCCAGCTGAGAATGGAGTTGTATAGAACCCCAGAACATATTGCATATCAGACAGTGTTGCAGTTGCCAATTCTCAGTCTTTCCCTTTGCAACCAAATGTATCCCTTGTCTATAGCCATGCCATCCTGGACACATCCAGTCTTATCTAATGTGCCCCTTGTGTTCTGACTATGAATGGTCACCATTACACTTTTCTTGCCAAACACTGTGAGGTCCTCAGTGAGTGATTACATTTATGGAATGTTGAGGCTGTTTCTTCAAAATACTTGATATGAATGTCCAGTTTCTCTAAGTGGTTCTATTTCAGAAAGACATGCTACTTGCTTAGCCAGTGATAAGAAGTATAAGTAGCTATGGTAAGGAAAAAAAATAAAATACACATTCAAAAATAAGAAATGTTCATCAGAAATGCAAAAGCAATCTATCTTTTGGCAGCTTTGAATTTCTCACATCCAGTTGATGCTCTAAGAGCGCAGTAAAACAGGCAAGTATCCATATGTCTGAACAATGGATAGTGATGATGGGTGTAGCTAGAGTTTTCCTGCCTGGCCCACAGTCAGGACAAATCTCTCTCACCTGCCAGTCCCACAGCCACTCAAACCCGACCAAGTAAACACAGAGACTTATATTGGTTACAAACTGTATGGCCGTGGCAGGCTTCTTGCTAACTGTTCTTACAGCTTAAATTAATCCATTTCCATTAATCTATACCTTGCCACATGGCTCGTGGCTTACCGGCATCTTCACATGCTGTTTCTCATCATGGCGGCTGGCAGTGTCTCTCTGACTCAGCCTTCCACTTCCCAGCTTTATTCTCCTCCTTGTCCCGCCTACACTTCCTGCCTAGCCAATGGCCAATCAGTGTTTTATTTATTGACTAATCAGCAACACATTTGCCATACAGAACATCCCACAGCACTTCCCCCCCCCCTTGTTCATCAGAAATGCAAAAGCAATCTATCTTTTGGCAGCTTTGAATTTCTCACATCCAGTTGATGCTCTAAGAGCGCAGTAAAACAGGCAAGTATCCATATGTCTGAACAATGGATAGTGATGATGGGTACCATTTTCTTTCCAAAAGCCGAACTCTTGCCTAAGAAAGGCAGAAATTCATTATTCTAATTAGAGGGTCATGCTCCACCTCCTCAGAGGATGGGCTCTTGGGGAGATCAAGAGAGATATACTTGAGAAGAAGGTTTTTTAAGTCAAGATTCACATCTCTGCTGAGACCTAGTGCTGAAGTCAAGTCGTCTTTCAAAAGTATTGTTCAGTGAAAGTTAGGGTTACTGTATCAGGGCAGAGGTTTGTTCACCCACTTATTTTGATGCCAGAGAGCTCATGATTAGGAACTTACTCAAAGCGGTCCTAAAACTCATACTTAAGAGTTAGAGCATGGTGGGAATAGGGGGTGGGCTGGGGGGAAGGTGAGGGGGCCGGGAGGGGGGAGAACAAGGGAATCCGTGGCTGATATGTAGAACTGAACTGTATTGCAAAATAAAAATAATAATAATAATAATAATAATAATAAAAGAGTTAGAGCATGGGATGGGAGACTTCATTTGTCGTTTGAAAGATTGTGATGAATTACGTTTAATCTCTAAAATGTTTTGCTTAATAGACTTGTCAAACTATATTCTTCTTTATGAACATTTAGAGCATATTGATCATATTACAAATATGTATGCATTTGATTCCTATAAGAACTCCATGAGACAGGACTCATGCAGAACACACAAAGTTTAAGTAAATTACTAACTGTCCAAACTGGCAAGTGATGCAGCTGGGATTTGAACCCAGGAAGTCTGACACTAGAAACTGTGTTCTTAGATCTTCCATTCTTCTGCCTCAGTTTTTTAATAGAAGTATTAAAATCAACATTTTTCTTCAATTTGAAACATTTGTGTTTTCTAGAAGGACACTATGGATGGCTGTCCCCATGGCCTACCTAAGAACAGGATGAAGTCAGATGTGTTTCATTCTAATGTTGGAAAAACAATGCTCTACAGTCAGCCACATACCAGGTGGCTTGTAAACATGCATAATCCCCTAGTTCAAGAATATCAGTTCAGCAGAAACTGCAAAATATCTAGGTAAGGCATAAGAAATGGGAGAAAAGGTGCCACATTGCTTATACTGCTGAAACAACACCGAGATTTTCAGGGATTTGCTTTAATCATGTATTTTTCTCCATCTTATACTTACTAATCTAGGGAAGAGCATAGCTCAATCATTTCTGCACACCTTTTAAGTTCCAGCACAGTATTATTAATAGAAATGTGATGACTATGTTCACTACTGAGGGGAAATGAGCATTTGTTGAATATTAATTGACTTAAAAGGCCATGGATAACTCATGTACTTTAATTTTAGTTTCCTGGAGTCAGCCTTGAATCACTGGAAAATAATACAACATGACTTTGAAATTGCTCAAGGCACTTACATAGGTAAATTATAAGAAACTAGGATACAAAAGTATAAATTAATCTGAAATGTATTTAAATGCGTTTTCTAAAAGGCATAATAGTATAGCTCACAATTGCCAACATGTTCCATCTCACCAGGTACATTTTTATCCTGCTTTTCTTGAAAATGACTGAAACAAAAATAAACTATTTTTATGTATCATACAAGCTCCTGGAATTTCAGAGATATGAATGAACAAAACCCAACTTTCATAAAATAATGGATAGCATTTGAATTAAATATGATGTTTATAATGTTACACTTGGGAAGTTAACAAAATGTTACACACTGAGGGAATAGGAGGCAAAAAAATTCCTGTAACATCTCTTATTCTTTATAGATTGAATATGAAGAAATTAAACCAGTTATAACAACAAAATGGATTAGTGATAGGATGAAAATGGAAAAAGGAAACAGATTAGTGAAGATATTTGCCTTAAAAAAAATCTCAAAACTATGCATCCTAGAGCAGAGGTAATAAAGATGGTTATTTCTGAGAAATAGATCCACAGTGGCTCCATTCAGTTCACAGCAGGAACATCCAAAGCAGCAATTAATGCAACTACTGGTGTGGAATTTTTCTACAAATGACACCCTGTTGTATGACTTTTTTTTTTTATTACAACTGAGCTCTGAAGTTATGGTGAAGTTGGCTCATTTTTTTAATGAAAATATCACCATAGATTATCAATATCACCATCCAAAAATTTGCATACAAGCAGTTGTACTGTGAAATAGAAAACAAAAACAAAAAACAAAAATAAAACAAATAAACAAACAAACAAACAAACCTGACAATTGCTCCTTATTCAACACTGTAGAGTAGTGCTTTCATCTAAAATATGGATAGATGACCTGGAGTTGAGAATATGCAAGTTTAACTGCTCCAAATGTTGCTAGAAATACCGAAAGATCCTAGACAACAGAACTCCCCAATTCCATATTCTCTGAGAGGTAATGTGGCCATGGGTGAGAATATGAACCTGGCTCAAGATTGCCCATGCCTAAATCCTGCTTTAGAATATTCTAGCTGTGTTTCTTTGGACTCACAAACTGACCTTTCTGAGCCTCAAGGTAAAAATATAGACATAATGTTACTTAGCACACAGGATGACTATGAAAACTGGCTGAGTCAGAATATATAAAGTCATACAATAGTGGCAACCCACAGCCTTTTTTGGAAGTGTTCATTAGTGTTGAAGTTATCACCTCTAAAACAAAGGCTCTTTCTAGTTC